CGTTGTATTCTAACAGTGTGCTGTGTTCTTATGAAATAATATGTTCTCGAAGGTCAGAGACCTGCAGGTGGTGCCAGGGCTAGTTAAAAGTTTAAATGGGCAGATACAGATGCCAGCCATGTGGTCTGGTGACAGAGTGCTGTTCATATGTTCTTTGTTAGTGCCACCATAGAGTGTGTGTTCTAAATAATTTGGTGGTTTTCTTTCCAGTTTAAGCAGTGTTAAAATCTTAGTATATTGAAATACTTTATAGGATTTACATATTATAGGTGTTCATTTTGAGATTTGTTCTAAAACAAAAGCAAGTTTTATAGACCTGCTAAAGATTATTAATACCAGTGTCAACCACAAGCCAACTTTGTGGCATGATAACTTTGAACTACTAAGATGATCTTCACTAGATATTTTTTGGTTGAATTAATCAAAAGAAGGGGAAAAACAGCTTTTAACTCAGATTTTAAGAAAATTATGATATATTTATTATTGGCCTTTAGAAATGTAAAATCCCAATTTAAATTTTTGTAAGGTTTAAAATAATCAAATTTTATATAGATTAAAGAAAAAAGGAGATACTGCAATTATCCATAAATCCAGAAATATCAACAAAATCATAATTTGATTGCTGTTTTAAAATAAAGTCCCTGCCATTTTGGGAGAGAGATTTATTGTCATCAGTTATAGGCTTTGGCTTTTATAATGTCATGGGAAAGCTATACCCTTCAAATTTCAAACTGTCAGAATTTTTTCTGAATAGTGTTTATTTTCTCAGATGCTTTTCTCCACTTAAAACTCCATAATAGTTGTGTCTTTTTACTGTGTCTCTTTTTCTGGCTTAAAAAGATACTCATGGACTGTGTTTTCAGCCAAGATGGAATAACAGATTGGATTTACTCTCTTGGCTGTAATCATATAATAAACAAACAAAAAATACTGAACCACAGGCAGCACAGGAAAGTGATCCCCAAGAAAGCAGAAAGACACAGATGAATCCTACAATGATCTTCGCTTACTGCCTGGAGAGAGTGTCCACTCTGCAGTGTAAGGAGGCGGAACCCAGACAGAGCCCATGGGTCTCCATGCATTGAGCAGACAGAGCTGTAGTTCAGGGGAGGCCAAGGTGGCTACAATTTGGAAAGGAAAATACTCCACAGGTCTGCAGAGAGTCCCCCTGAGTGTTCAGATAAGTACTGATAAGTGCATGTGTTGTGGGGAAATGATCCAAAGCCAAGAAAGAACCACCCAAAAGAACTAGAGGGAACAACCCCTGATTCTTTCTCAGGGTTGAGAATAGTTTGTGTTCCTACCAGCGGAAGAGAAAAAACCTCATAAATCACAGGATAAGTCAGAAGGAAATTGCCTCAGCAGTGGGGCAAATGAAGCCCTAACCCAAAGACTGCTGTGATCCTTTCTAACAAGCCTTGAAAACAGGTTTCAAGAGGATCAAACTGTTTTCCAGTAACTTAACTGCATCCCAGAACAAAGCTCAATATTTAGAGATTGTATGAAAATACTTAGCACTCACCAAGGCAAAATTTGACCTCCAGTCAAAATATCAGACTTGGAATGAAACGGGAAAAATACAACCCATGAGGAAGAAAATAAAAAAATAGAAACAGACACAGACATGACACAGGTGATGATAGAATTAGTAGACAAAGACATTAAAACATTTTTTACTATATTTCATATATGTTCAGTAAAGTAGAAGAAAGATTGAGTATGTTAAATAGATATGAAATATATTTAAAAGACCCAAATGAAAACTACAATGTGTGAGGTAAAAAATATGTTATGTGGGGTTTACAGCAAATTAGACAGTGCAGGAGAAAAGATCAGTAAACTTGAAGCCATAGCAATACAAACTATACAAGATAAACTCAGAGGAAATAAAGACTAGGAAAACATGAACAGAGCATTGATGAACTATTAGACAACTTCAGGTGGTTTAATATACATGTAATTGTACTCTCCAGAACAGGGGTAGTTTTTGAAGAAGCAATGGGCAAAAATTTCCAAATTTGATAAAAACTATAAGCCCAGAAATCTAAATATAGGTGAAAAGGGGAACAAAGAACAGATGTCACAAATAGAAAAATAGCAAGGTGTTAAATTTACACCAGACTATCAATAATTGCATCAACTGTAAAAAGTCTAAATAACACATTTAAAAGGCAGAGCTTAGTAGACTGGGTAAAAAAGCAAACTCACTCACTGTATGCTGCCTTCAAGAAACCTACTGTACAATACAAATAGGTGTTCAGGCCAGTGAGGCTCAGTGGTTGAGCATCTGAAAGGTCGCCTGTTCGATTCCTCGTCAGGGCACGTGCCGAGGTTGTGGGATTGAAAATACTCCCTGGTTCGGGTACACGTGGGAGGCGGCTGATTGATGTTTCTCTCTCTTTCTTTTCCTTCCTCTCTCTCTGAAATCAATAAAAACATACTTATAAATAAATAAAGTTACTTAAAAAAGATACAAATTGACTAAAAGTAAAAGGTTGGAAAAGAATATTCCATGCTAATAATCAAGAAAGTAGGAATAAATATTTTTACTAAAGTAATTTTAGACAAACTAGATTGTATAATAAAGGTTATTACCACGATTAAAGAGTCATTTCATAATGATAAAGTGATCAGTTCATCAAGTGGAATTGATAGTTCTAAACATTTATGCACCTAATAATAGAGCTTCAAAATACATGAATCAGAAACTGATAGAATTGAAAGGAGAAATAAATCCGTAATTATAGTTGGAGATTTCAATACTTTATCCCTCATTAATTTAAAGAACAAGTAGACAGAAAAAAAAATCAGTAATTTAGAAGATTGAAGCAACACTATCAATTAATTGACCTAATCAACATTTATATGACATTCTATCCAATACAGCAGAATATACATTCTGTTAATTTGCACACAGAATATTTACTAATATGGACCACATTATGGTCCAGAAAATACTGTCAGTAAATTTAAAATTACTGAAATCACATAAAGTATGTCATCTGACCAAAAGGAAATTAAATTAAAAATAGCAGAAAGATATCTGGAAAACCCCTCTTTACAAACTAACACATTTCAAAGAAATTCATGGGTCAAAGAAAAAAAATACAAAGATTAATTTAGAATGTATATTGTACTTATTTATTTTATTTTTTTATCCTCTCCTGAGGACATTTTTGCATTTATCTTAAGATAGAGCAGGAGGGAGAGAGGGAGGAAGAAACAGAGAAACATTGACGTGAGATTTGACATTGAGTGGTTGCCACCCAAAAGACCCCAACTGGGGCCGGGGTCAAACTTCAACTGAGGTACATGCCCTTAGTGGGAACCGAACCCGGGACTCTCTGGTCTGAAGGCCGACACTTTAACTGCTGAGCCAAACTGGCCAGGGCTGTATTGTACTTATTCAAAATGAAAACAACATAACAAAATTTGTGTGATATAACAATGAAAGTGCTCATAGGAAAATGTATAGCAGTAAACACCTATATTAAAGAATATGGTTGCAAATCAATATCTTCAGCTTCCACTTGAAGAAACTAGAAAAGAAAAAACAAACCCAAAGTAAGCAGAAGAAATGAGTTAATAATAAAAGCTAAAGCCATTGAAATAGGAAACAGAAAAGAGTAGAGACTAAGTCAATGAAACCCAAAGGCTGGCTCTTTGAGAAAACCAATAAAATTGCTAAATAATAAATAAATAAATAAATAAATAAATAAATAAATAAATAAATAAATATTTATGATAGATTAGGAAAAAGAGAAGACACAAGTTACCAATGTAAGGAATGAGAGTTGGTTAAGCTGTAGATCCAATAGTTATTAAAAGGCTAAATAAGAGAATTTTATTAATCATTTTATGCCAGTACATTAGACACTTAGATGAAATGGGCAGATTCTTTGAAAGACATAAAGTAACAAAGCTCACTTAAGAAGAAACAAATAACCTGAATAATCCTATGTCGGATGAAGAAATTGAATTCCCCCAGAGAAAATTCTGGGTTCAGATGACTTCCCTGATGAATTCTACGAAACATTTTAGGAAGTTATAATACCAATTTTATACAAATTACTCCATAAAATTGATGATGGGGGGGATACTTATTAACTCATTCTGTGACACTGGTATTATCCTGATACTAATCCCAGACAAATACATTTCAAGAAAAGAAAATTACCGACTAATATCCCTCATGAACATAATTGCAAAAATTTTACCAAATTGACTGCAACAACATATAAAAAGGATAAAATACAATGACCAAATGGTATTTGTCACAGGAATGCAAGGTTGGTTTAACATTTGCAAAACTACATCATGTACCATAAAGTGAAAAAGGAAGACCATGTAATCAACTTAGTAAATGCAGAAAAAGCATTTAACAAAATCCAACATGCTTTGCTGACAAAAACTTCCAACACATTAGAAGTAGAAGGGAACTTCCTTAATCTGTTAAAGACTATGTATGAAAAACCAATATCTGAAATTACACTTAATGCTGAAAAACTGAATCCTTTCCCTCTAAGATCAGGAACAAGGCAAGATGTCCACTGTCACCACTTCTATTCAATATTATACAGATTCTAGCCAGTTCAGTCAGACAAGAAAAATAAAAGGCATCCAGATTGGAAGGGAAGAAGTAAAACTCCTTATTCACAGATGACGTGATTGCCTGAAATTTCTCAAATAAAGCTACTATAGCAATTAAGTACACTTAGCAAAGTTGCAGAATACAAGATCAATATAGAAAAGTCAATTTTAGTCTGGCTGGTGTGGCTCAGTGGTTGAGTGTCCACCTATGCACCAAGAGGTTGCCAGTTCAATTCCCGGTCAGGACACATGCCCAGGTTGTAGGCCAAATCCTCAATGGGGGGCATGCAGGAGGCGGCCAATTGATGTTCTCTCTCATCAATGTTTCTATCTCTGTCTCCCTCTTCTTCCTGTCTCTCTAAAATCAATAAAGGGGGAGAAAAAAAAGTCAATTGTATTTTTTTTTCCCTTCTGGCTGCTACCTTCCTCATGACTGCAAGGACATTGTTCATTTCCTCTCTCTTCCTCTTGGCATGGATATGTGTCCCCACACTTTTCTTGATGAATTTCAGGGCTCTCTTGTCCTTACAGAACTTGAGCAGCTCCATGGTGTGCTGCTTATAGAAGGCAAAGCCACACAACTCTCGGATCATGTCCTGCATGAACTTGGTGTGCTTGGTGAGGTGCCCATGGCGGTGGCTGTGCCTTGGCTTGCTTATGCTCTTGGTCAGCTTGTGGCCCTTTTTGAAGCCCATGGCCACGGGATAGCGCAGAGCCATGGATGCTGCTCAGTGGTTGCCACAGTGGAAGGGCTCAACTGCATTTCTGTGTACTAGCAAATGAGCAGCCAAAGTTTGGAATTTAAAAAAATATATATCATTTACAGTAAAATAAAAATATTCAATACCTAAGGATAAATTTCTTAAAACATATGTAAGACCTCTATACTGGAAGCTATAAAAATATTGCTGAGAGAAATGAAAGAAAATCTAAATAAAGAGGTTTGTGTTAAAGGATTGGAAAACGCAATAGTGTCAATTTTCTCTAAAGAATTCCAACCATAATCCCAGCTGGCTATTCGTAGAAAAGGGCAAGCTGGTTTTAAAATCTCTGTGGAAGTGCAAGGGACCTGAAATAGCCAAAACAATTTTGATGAAGAACAGAGAGGACTTAACGATTTCTGATTTCTAAAACTTTATCAAAACAATGGTATTGGTATAAAGATAAACAGATACATTCATGGAAGAGAAGAATTCAGAAAAAAAAGGTCAATTAATTTTGAGGACAGTGCCAAGGCAATGAAGTGGGAAAAAGTCTTGTCAACAGCCCTGCCCATGTGATTCAGTGGTTGTGCATCAACCCATGCACCAAGAGGTTGCCGGTTCAGTTCCTGTCATGGCACATGCCCAGGTTGTGGGCCCAATCCCCAGTAGGGGGCGTGCAGGAGGTGGCCAGTGGATGTTCTCTCTAAATCGATATTTCTGTTTCTCTCTTCCTCTCCCTTCCTCTCTCTCTAAAATCAATAAAAAAAAGTCTTGTCAGCTAATGGTATTAGAACAATCTGATAGTCATATACAACCCCCCCCAAACGAATCCATACCTTAATCTATAATCTTGCATCATACGTAAAAGTTAATCAAAATTGATCATAGACCTAAATGTAAAGTCCAAATCTATAAAATTTCTAGAAGAAAATATTTGTGACTTTGGGTTTGGTAAAAATTTCTAAAGTATAACACCAAAAACATGATTTACAAAAGAAAAAAAGGATAAATTGGGCTATATCAATATTAGGAATATCTCTTTGAAAGCCACATTTAAGAGACTAAAAGGACAGTAGACTGGGAGAAAGCATTCCCAAATGCTTGTATTCAGAATATATTAGGAACTCTCAAATCTCAGTAATAAGAAAACAACCTATAAAAAAATAGGCAAAAAATTTGAATAGACCCTTCATCAAAGAAGCTATATGATGGCAAATAAATACATGAAAAGATGATCAACATCATTCGTCATTAGAGAAGTGCAGTTTAAAATCACATGATACCATTGCATGCATGTTAGAATGTCTTCAGTTAAAAGGTTTACAGAACCAGGTTGGTGAGGATGAGGAACAACTGAAACTCTGACACTTCTAGAGGGAATGCAAAATGGTACAGCCACTTTGGAAAACAGTTTGGCACCAAGTGCATCAATAGGCAGATAATCAAAATGTACATCAGTAGGTAAATTAGATAAACAAGGCACTGTCTGTGCAATGGAATAATATTCAGCAGTAAAAAGGAATGAACTATTGATACACCCAACAATGTATTTTATTCTCAATATAATTACAGTAAGAGAAAAAAGGGGAAAATTACAGTAAGGGGGGAAAAAGATATAATTCCATTTATATGAAATTCTATAAAATACAGATATTCAGAAAGCAGATCAGTGATTGGCTGGAGATGTGAGCTGGTGAGGGATGAATTATAAAGGGACACAGGAAACTTCGGTGGGAGACAAATGTGTTCATTGTCTTCATTGTAGTGATGGTTTCATGGATATATACATACATACAAACATGCCTGCACACACACACACACACACACATACATGTGTCAAAACTTACCAAATAGTATACTTTAAATATGTGTAGTTTATTGTATGCTTCTCAAATTTTGGAATAATTTAAGGGACTTAGAATACTTTTTAAAATACTTTTTTCAGTGATTAAGTTTGATGATGCAGGAAAATACGTATTGTGTATATCAAGTTTATTTAAAATTTGAACTTATTGAGAAACTAAATGAATGTTCCAATTTGGGCTTTCTGAAATTCTGAGGGAATTTTCAAAATGCTAAATACCAAATGTTGGATTTAATTTTACTGTCAGATTAGAACATGGTTATCCAACTGGATGATAAATAAAGGGAGAGAAAAGAAAGAATGTTGTAGAGTCCTAAGTATAAAAGAGGAAGTCAACAGAAATCTCGGCTTGGGAGAAGTTCTTAGGGCCTTTATTGGATGACTAGGTATCTATAGTAGGTAGAGTAACGGCTCCTCAAAGATGTCTGTCTACCGCCTAACCACTGGAATTTGTTAATACATTACCTTACAGAGTAGAGGGGAATTTGCAGATGTGATTCAGGTTAAAGATTTTGAGATGGGCCCTGGCCGGTTTGGCTCAGTGGTTAGAGCGTTGGCCTACGGTCCAGAGAGACCCGGGTTCGGTTCCCACTAAGGGCACGTACTTCGGTTGCAGTTTGTCCCCGGCCCTGGTTGGGTTGTGCGGATGGCAGCCACTCGATGTGTCCCTTTCACGTCAATATTTCTCTTTCTCTCTCTCTCTTCCTCTCTCTCCCTCCCACTCTGTCTGAATAAAAAATGGAAAAATGTCCTCGGGTGAGGATTAAAAAAAAAAAAAAAAGATTTTGAGATGGGGAGATTGTCCTGAATTATCTATGTGGGCCTGACATAATCACATGGAGTCTCTTTTTTCCCCCAGTACCAGTCATCTTTTACTGGGTGTTAATTAGGATATGGAAAGATTCAGAGGTGCTTGGCAAAGGTCATGGTCATTGTGGAGTCCACACTGAGCCCTCTTCAGTGGCACTTGCATTTCCCCTCACGTGTGAGTTTCTTATAAGAAGGGCAGTAGTAGAAAAACATGTAAGCTGCCAGCACCATAGAAATCCAATGAATCTCCCTTTCTTCACATTGACATACTTATTGTAATACTGGTAGTAACCTCTTCGAAAAGCCCCTGAAACATTCCAGCAATGTTTTAGGGGTGAAATCCCACATCAGTATCAGCTTGATAGCTCCCCTATTTTGACATCCATGAGTTTCTTCTCTTCACTGGTACGACTGATGCCATCTTGGAGTCCAGGCTGTCATCACATAGATTCTTAAGAAATGTAAGAAAGCAGAGAATCTTTCCCATCTGTGGTCAGAGAGACATATGACAACAGAAGAATTATCAGAGAGATGCATTATTGCTGGGTTTGAAAGTGGAGGAATGGGGCCATGAGCTGAGGAATTTGGGTGGCCTCTAGAATCTGGAAAAGAAAGGAAACAGATTCTCTCCTAGGGCCCCCAGAAGGAATGCTCTTAGCCCAGTGAGATTTATTTCTGACTTCTGACCTCCAGAACTGTAAGATATTAAATGCATATTGTTTAGGCCGTTAAGTTTGTGGTGATTTGTTATGGCAGCTATAGAAAACCAGTATAGTATCTAAGGGGGTAAAGCTCAGAGTTAATAATGTTTACCAAAGGTTTGCAATGGAAAGTGAACTCTGTAATACCAAAATAACTTTTTCCGTTCCTGGGGAGTTATTTTCCCTTCTACATATCAAACCTAATTTTCCCATAAATTAAAACATATTTACTCATTTAAAAGTAAATCTAGCCCTGGCCAGTTTGGCTCAGTGGTTGAAGCGTCGGCCTGCGGACCAGAGAGTCCCGGGTTCGGTTCCCGCTAGGGGCACATACAAAAAGTATCCAAAAAAAAACCCAACAAAAACGTAAATCTAAATAGAAAATATTAACATTAGCATAAACCTTAGATATCATCATAGTCTAACCCCCTGAAATTTACACTTGGAAAAACTGAGTAAGGATCAAAGATCCCATAGCTAGTTACCAGTAGATCTGAGTTTAAATTCAGTAATGGTTCATCATTCCACCACATAACACCCTTTACTTAGAAATTTGTTCAGGAACTGTGGAATATCTGAGTCACTTCAAGAGGGTGTTTACTTAGTGAGATAGATGAATCTTTTCCTAGTTGACAGGATTAATTTATGAGATTAACTTGTCACCTTTGCAGGCCCAAGAACCTGACCTGGAAGAGGTGGAGTCAGTTCCAAACCTCACTGGTTAGTAACTAGATTTGCATACAGGAAAAGTACCAACTGAGAATGGAGGAGTTTGGGGACACATAAAAAATAAATTTTTATTTCTTCCTGCCTAGAATCTATTATATCCTTATAGATTCCACTTGTCCCTAGACTTCTCCCTAAACACTAAGTCTCTCCTGTAATGGAACATCCATCCATTTGTTCTCAAAACCCTGGTGCCCAGACCCCGGCCTCTGGTCACCAAGCTTGGGAGGAGCACTCTCTTCCTTCTCCCTCCGCAGTCTCTATCCTCCTTCCATACTTCTGTACTTCCATGGTAGGGATTTAAGTGGCCAGGTTTTTGTTCCTTCCACTGAGGGTTTGTTTACAGACCCAAAATGCTGTTCTTGTACAGTTTTTTTCTTGGCGCTCGGGAAACATAGTGTAGCCATGTTTTAAATCTGCGTAATTTATATTACAGGGCCTTAATGAGACAATATTATAAGAGGGTGCAATGTTATGTCGAACCTTTGTGGTAGGTTTCTTCTCTCTGCATTCCAGCTCTCTGCACCATCTCTTCCTCCAGGTGCTGGTTAATGTATAATGCCTGAAACCGCAGAGATGCCCAAACCCTGCATAGACTATGGTTTTTCCTATACAAACATACTTAGGATAAAGTTTAATTTGTAAATTAGGCAAAGTAAGAGATTAACAACAATAAGTAATAATAAAAGAGGACAATTATAGCAGTATACTGTGATAAAAGTTATGTGCCCTGACCGGTTTGGCTCAGCGGTTAAAGCATCAGCCCATGGACTAAAGGGTTTCGGGTTCGATTCCTGGTCAAGGGCACATACCTGTGTTGCAGATTTGATCTCCGGCCCTGGTCAGGGTCATGTGAGAGGCAACCAGTCTGTCTCTCTTGCATTGATGCTTCTCTTTCCCTCCTTCCTTCCCTT